AAAAAAAAAAAAAAAAAACAAGGAAAACAAGTCCCCACTTAAGCGTCCGTTTTCGGACGCTTAAGTGGGGAGGTGTAGTCTGCGAATTATGCCAAAAAATATTGGTATCAGGTCTTACAATAAGACATTTTTCTTTAAAAAAAAAAAAAGGCAATGTTAGAAAAATTACAAAAATATCTGTCTGTATTAAAAGTATTTGTAACATCATCATGATTGATACGTTTGTAAAAAGATTAAAAACAATTAAATCATTAAAAGTATTTTACATTCTGTCTTCTTCTCAATGTACATGTTTAAGATAAACCTTTGATTCTCGAATTTTTATTATTACTTATTTCATTTATTGTGTTAACTCGAAATTGCTTTCTTGCAAATGTGATTTCGTCGAAATAGACTTTGTCAATGTCACCATTTTCAATAAAATTTTATTCGATGAATATTCATTCAATAAAATGTTGCAAGGGAAGCAAATACTCTGATACTCTTCTGATTCACTAGCCAATTCTTCTGAGCATGTATTCGCATTCTCAACAGGTGGATAATATCGTTGACTTGTTCGTACCTATACAGGGTGTTCCAAAATCTTTTAACGCTACGACGAAGCAACTTTTTGTTGATGCAGGTACCATGTTATTGAAAAAGTTGCTAATTTCTTGATATACAAAATTTCACCCCTCAGTGGAGTTACCTGTTTCAATTCCAAAATTGAAAATTAATCAGTTATACTACGCGCAAAAGCCAAGTGTGAAACGCGTGAAACAGAACACTTTCAAGAGAAAAACAGGCCTCGAATATATTTCCATTGAGAATTTTTTCCTCGGTACACGTGTACTCGATAAATTTCCAAGCTCGATTTCCTCGAAAAATGGTGGCGGCCTGCAGAAAAATCTCATGCAACATCGTGTAATCCGCACTTGCGGAGCAAACTAACAATAACCAGAGCATAATTTACGTAATAGAACCAGAAAAAACAATTGTTCCGTTCATTTGAACGAAACGATTTCGCGGAATGATTATTATTTTCTCGTTCAAACGGACTGTACACGTGACACGTAATTGCGCTAAAGAGTAAACCTAACCTATATTGCGCTAGGAGGGAATCTAACCTAGCCTAACTTAAACCAGGCTTCGACACCAGTTTATTCTATTTGGAATAAAAATCGTCGTTGCGAAAATTAATCAGCTTAGAAAGTAAATAATTTTCATTTAA